ACTGCCCTGAATGGGTGCTGGTTTTGCATGGCTGCACTGTGCAGTGAAACCTGTTTCCTTGCTCCTCCCTGAGATCTCGCAGATACCGAAATGCCACCCGCGCTCCGTGTGCCTGGAGTGATGGTTAATCCTTCGTGCATTTCATGAGCTGCTATCGAGTTTCACTTATCGTCATTATTGACTCGTGACACTGAGGTTAAATCATTTGCTTCAAGATATTTTGCTCAGAAAAAAAAAAAAAGAAAAATTAACATCACTTTTCATTCAGTTGAGACAGATTGCTCAGACACTGCATAGCTGGGTGACTGGGCAGACAGGTACCTTTCTGGAGGGCGCTTTCTCCACGGCCAGTAACTCACCAAGGCCCCTGAAACCGTGTGAGTGTTGACAGGGCTGGGAGATACAAAGCCATAAGGAAAACTCGCACACCCTTGACCTGAGTTTTGCTTCCTTCCCTGCTGCTATCTCCATTTCATTTGATCTATTTTAACCACTGTCACCTCGCTGTAGCACGAACCTTCATGCTCTGGCCACCATCCAGCTCCAGAATGTGCACCCAACTCGTGTGTGATTGCCTCTGCTGGTGTCAGGAAAGCTGGTCCTCAGGCTCCAGAGTTACAAAATGCAACTGTCTGGGCATTGGATGTCATCAGAGAGGATGTTTGTATGGGTGCCTTCCTGAAGAGGAACAGAACAAGTGTGGTGATAGGGAGAGTGGTATTTGCAGAGGCTGCAGCTCCCCGATACTCAATGGAGAGAGAAAAGAGAGCAGTGACTCCTTTAGAAGACAGAGCATCTGACCAAACTTCTTCACTGAATCCCTCCTTAAAGTTCCTTTCTCTATGAGAACCAGCCTAGGGCCGAACTTAGTAAGAGTTAAAACTAGCCAGAGCGAGACAGACCAAAGATTTATATGGCCCCCATGCCAGGTGCCATGCAGGAGTGGAAGCACCTGTGAAAGATCCCAGAGTGAGCAGTGTTGCTTCCCCAGGCCTGCACAGAGGAGTCCCCTCATCGTTCCTGCTGCTGGAACTGCCTTCCCAGGGATTTTGCCGTGGGCGTCCTGCAGGCTGGCACCAAGCAGAGCTCAGGGACTGCACAGCGGCACTGCTGATGGAGGGATGTGTCCTCCAGGCCCTCGGAAAGTGCAACCACAGACTCTGCTTTGGGGTAAACCACTGATAATTAGGGAGACGCTTGCAGCAAGGGCAGCCTTTTGAAAGTTAAGAGCAGGCAGGGCACGGTGCCCCCCTACACATCTGACTGACAAGCTAGTGCTGAGAAAATGAAAGCAGGGAGGGGAAGGGATCTGCGTAATGAATCACAGATACTAGTGTGATCCGTGGAAGCTACAGTAGTCACAAACCTTCAGCATGCATGAAAGCATCACTTCTCTTTTTTTTTTTAATATTTTTAGAGCAAACATATTTAAAAAAGCTATTTCAAGTTTTACATGGAGCATAAATCATGGGGGAGAAATAACTATACTGGCCACAACACAGGTTGTTTTGTAGCTTCTAAATTTCTTAAGTGTTAGGTCATTTTACTTACAAGTTAAATAGCTGTCTGCAAGAGGCCTTGGTTGGTCATAAATTGTTCTTCCAATAATATAAAACACACCATTTATTTACAGCACGTATGCTCCTCCAAGTAGATCCAACAGCTCGTAAAGAACAGGAGCCCCTATGTCATCCCTACTGAGACCACGGCAATAAAGAGCCATTGGAACGACTCTGTACTCAGTAAGTGCAATAAGATCCAGCAACAGTAGCTTTTACGGGCTTTTTCTCCCCTCCAGAAAAACCTTAAATACTAGTGCAATTTCAAGGAGCTGTGATGTTCTTGCCCACAATGTATCTTACTCCTCATATGCTCCCACTGTTTTCAGAGCAGAGCAAGATAACTCTCACCAAAGAGAGTAAGAATCAGCCCTGCTAGGATCATTTATTTCCATAGGATTAATAATTGGTTAAAAGGGGTTAACTGAATATTATGAAGCTGTCACAGCTATCTGAACTCCAAAGCTTTGGCAGACATGCAACTTTTTCTGCAAGAGAGTTATTACCTGTTCATGCATAGAAGCAATGAGACTTTCAATCTCTGTTCATTCCTGGATGGGAGAGCAGTAAGAGGTGCTGGTAGCTGACCTCAGATAAGCTCCTAGGAAATGCTTGCCCAGTTAAAGAAATAGAAATGTTCTTACGTGGGCCGAGGTGTGCCCTGATCAAACTCTGAAGCAAAATACCAGCTGGAAGCAGCATTGGATCTAGATCAGAAACTCGCTTAAAGTGTTTGAAGCAGAAAAGCAGTAGGAGCTGACCTGAGGCTCCAAAGCCCTTAGTCAATAGAAGAGCTCGGAACCATTTCCTTTTTTAATAATATCATTTCATCTTTGAATGGGGTTTCTGTAATTCTTGGACAGTACAGAAGGGTGTGATATTTATCCAACGGATTCACGGACTAAGAGGATCATTAACACAGTAATCAACTTCTTGTCCACTGGCTCAGCCTCAGGCTGCGCTGAGAGCGACTGGATCACTGCAAGAGTTTCACAGGAGCACGGGATTCATTTCACCCTGCTGAGGAAGACACCCAGTTGGAGCTGGCTGTGTAAGATCTCCACTGCCTACAGGACGATCTACCCTGATCTGAGTGAGTCTAAAACAGGCAAGACCAATTCTGTCTCAGGACTATTGCTCTGAAATTGTGGCTCTGGAAGTGTGGGTTAGATGAGCAGACAGTGAAGTGGGTTGAGGACTGGCTGGATGTCAGAGCCCAGAGCGTGGTGATAAATGGGGCCAAGTCTAGTTGGAGGCCTGTGGCCAGTGGTGCCCCTCAGGGATCAGTACTGGGCCAGGTGCTGCTCAAATTGTGCATTGGTGACTTGGATGAGGGCACAGAGGGCACCCGGAGCAGGTTTGCAGATGGCACCAAACTGGGTGGAGTGGCCGACACTGCAGAGGACTGTGCTGCCATTCAGAGGGACCTGGACAGGATGGAGAGTTGGGCAAAGAGGAACCTCATGAGGTTCAACAAGGACAAGAGCAGGGTCCTGCACCTGGGGAGGAATAACCCCAGGCACCAGTACAGATTAGGGGTTGACCTGCTGGAAAGCAGCTCTGTGGAGAGGGATTTGAAAGTCCTGGTTGACACCAAGTTAACCATGAGGCAGCAATGGGCCCTCGTGGCCAAGGCCAATGGGATCCTGGCTGCATCAGGAGGAGCGTTGCCAGCAGGTCGAGGGAGGGAATCCTG